CTCTTGAGTTTGCCTCTTTGCTTGTTTTTCACACTTAACCAAGAGTTGTCACCACTGACACTGAGGAATGCATGTTCCCCTCACTTTTTATATTTGCAAAAGCACCTGCAGAGCACCAGGTCCCTTGTAGAAAGTTTATTTCCCCTCCCCTCGAGACTTTGTGAGTGCTTATTTTCTGCTTTGAGGTTTCAGGAAAGTGTCCCTACCTCTGCGGGCCACACTCAAGACAGAAGTGTTCCTTCAGGCACCTTTCTGTCGGCTCAGGATGGCTACACCTAAGAATTGCCAGGAAACATGCAGCTGGATGTGCTGTACATTTGTGGAGTCCTTGCAGCAGCAGAGGTAGAGCTCTCTGTAGATGGAAGGACAGCTCTGAGTTTCGGTGCGCTGGTGTAAGACCAAAGTGGCTCCACAAGTATCAACACTTGTGATTTCTTTTCCTTACCGTGAGGCTCCATTGTGCTCAGTGTGGGGCACATCTCATCCCAGAGAAGTCAGTACATAGGTAGCTCGGGAAACACAGAAGAGAAAAAGGATAGCTAGTCTCTGGCATTGGATTGGGTCATTCCATTGAATCACATCAATGGCCTAATCTTGGGATCATTCAATATCCTAAGAGAACAGGATTGTAGGACTGACTTGCTTACACATGCTTTATATCAACTGATGAAGTCTTGTATAAATGCTAAGCATTCATTTTCTTAACAAGGAGGTTTACTTTTGAATTTGCTGGGAGACAAAAAAATAAACCAAGATTTGCCAATAGTTAATTTGCTGTATTCTGAAAGATTAAAAAATCTTGATCTTACAACAACTTCTTCCTGTTTACACCTGTAATTCTAAAAGGTCCTAAACCCACTTCTGTTGTAATTTACATTAGGTATAAATGGAGCAGTACTACCAGTGACTCATGGAGTGTATTTTGATAAATTATTATTACATAGCATAAGTTATATTGTAGAGAAACTTGCAAGGAGGGAAATTCAAGGCATGTAAATTTTCTTCAGGACAAATGCTGACTAACTTTAATCCAAAATCATGGCCACTTAGATGCTTCCTTATTTAAAACAAAATCAACGTAACCTTTCAGAAGGGTTGTGTGTTGATTATCAAGTAATTTAAGGTTGCAATATTTTCATTCTTTTTCCAAAGGATTGTAGTAGCTTCATCTCTGAATCTGGTATTCATTAGTCTGAAGAGGAAAGCACACAGGTTAGATTTCCTTATCTGAATAGCCTTGAAGAAATAATTTTATCAATTTTGACTGGAATTTTATCTATTTTGTAGCTCTTGTAATAAGGGGCCAAACTTTGAAGCTATTTGTATTCCTAAATAGAAGAATTATCTATTATCACCTAGGTGCTAATCCCTTTCCTGCTGTAAATGAGAGTGAGACAGGTGCAGCATTTGAGAGCAAGATTGTTTCAGTCGGGTGCCCATCCAGCTTTTGATTTCTAACTTTGGGCTCTTAAATTGGCTGAAAATGTAAAGAAATGTGACTGCATTGAAGACAATGAAGCCATACACACTAGTGTATGCTAGTGACAAATTTGATTTGTGGGGAACACTTAAACAATGAAAAATTAAAAAACATCTCTTTAGTGCCAAACCAAAACAGACCATAATTTTAGGGTTTTATGTCAGAAACATTGTTCTTTTAGATAAATCATTATAAATGTTTATTGATTTACAAATTGATAACAAATAGATGCTTCAGTGCAAATTCTCATATCTGTTCATAAGATCTCTTATTTTCTAGGGTGTGACAATTCTTGCTTCTGCTGATTCTAGAGCAGAGGAAAGGGAGAAAAATCAGGGCATGGTTTCCTATTCATAGATTTATCATACCAAAGGCAAAAGGGTAAATTCCACTCTTAGCATTTAAAATTTAGCCCAAGACCTGTTATGCTCAAGTCTGGTGGGACTTTTAACAGACAAAGGGCCAAAACCTTTGTTTGGTTGCAGAACTGAGATGGGGTGCCAGATGTCCTGTCATATATTCTTTGCTGATACAGGGCCTAAGCTGAAGTTAGCTGAGATTTCATTAGTATTTACCCTTCCTCTGGGAGGGATTCAAACACTCTTGAGGATTTTCTAAATTTTATTTTTCTGCTTTTACCAATTTGTGTAATTTGCGGATCTTAATCTACATTTAGGAACCGCGCATAATTATTCTAAGTAATTATTGGGAAGAAAAAAATATCTTTCCATCATCACTTTTCCACTAGCTCTATTTCCTCTCAATGTTCCATCCCTGTGAAATGGATCAGCTTTGCCGAGTGTCTTAAAATCACCTAATTCAAGCCTAAACCCTAATGTGAGATCTGAGGGTGTGTGTTTTGAGACAGGAGTCATCCAACCTCAAAGAAAGCAAGCTAAGAATATTCCATTAAAAAAAACAAAAACAATGCCCTACAACAAACTGTACTCGTTTATTTTCATTAAAAAACTAAACAAACAAACCAAACAAGCAAAAAAAAAATCAACCTTGTAGTTTAGCTCTTAATTTAAGAAATCAGGAAATGGGACTTCTCCATTGGGAAGTGTTTTCCAACTGAGTTCTGCTTGATGACAGTGAGAGGCAGGAAGTGCAGCTGACAAATGTGTGGCTTAAGTTGCAGAAATACTGGGTGTAAGTCTTGTCAAGACAAAGGCAGGTAAATTCAGGAGTACAAAACTAGAAGAAACTTTCTTCTTTACACCTCCTCCCCTTGGCACTCCCAGTCCTGCTGAAGCCCCAGGAACCGGAAGAAGGCAGATGCAGTTGGAATAAAGTGCCCTTCCAGAGTGTGACCCCTTTCTTGTGGGTATATTCTTGAAGTGGTTTTTTTGGTTGGTTAAGGTTCACTGTACTCTGGAAAAATGTGAAGTAATTAACTGATTAATAGTAGCTAGGTGACCCTAGAAGGCAGTAGTAAAATGCATTCCCATTTCTTTTTTCTTCTTTTGTGTTCAGTCATACTTGCAGGAGAAGTAAGGCACTTGTACCTAACCACTTACCATAAATTCACCATGCTTCCAGTAACTGAGCAGGCTATAATTATAGGGTTTTCCCTCCTGCTAGAGAAGCTGCTTTTCCCACTGAATACTTTAATAAAAATGCTCCTATTGAAAGCTCTTCAGTCCCATAGGAACTGACTCAAATTTTTAAGTGGAAGGTGGTTTTTTGCATTTTGCAGAGCTGTAGTAATTTCTGAGGACTATATATAGATGTTAAACAAATTGCTTGTCTGGAATTAAAGTTTAGGTGCAGAATAAAGCAAGACAGAGCATTATTGGGCATTAAGCAGTGTTACGGGACAGGTGCAACAGCCGGAATGCTCTGTAAGAATACCCAATGTTTTTTGCAAATTGCATGGACTATAATCTGTTCAACATCCTATCCATCTGCAGCCCTGCAGCCTACACACACTCTTTTTGCAATTCTAGCATGGGCCTGGTGAAGAAAGACAAGATTTGTAAGTTGGAAGGTGGGGGGCAGCAATATATTGGATCTGAGATGTACTGTTGACATTCAGAAGCAAGGGAGTAGACAATACGATTTATAAAATTATTAAATACAATAATAGCTGTTACTTTCCCACTGCAAATTTTTGGAGAGCAGGTTGAAGATCTTGTTTTGAGAAAAGAATAATCATGGAAATTGGGCTAAAAAAGGTTAGGATAAAGTTGAACCCTTTCCCAGGAACTTTAACTACATCCTCCTCTCCTTCCATCCTTCAAGAAAATGCTTGTTTAATTCCAGGAAGCAGGCTTGACAGTGCAAGCATCTGAGTTTACAAGGAACAGGCAGCAAAGAACAACTTCTCTGCTTGGTAGGATGTGGAGCCAGCTGCAGCAGGTGAAGATGTGACCTAACATTCCATGGATGAACAAAGAGTGTGTAGGCTCTTTGCCCCCTCCCCACCTGAGGCTACCTCAGCTGCCCATGCCATACTTCAAGGTGGGGACCAAGTTGTGATGGGACTACCTGCTCCAGCAGCACATCTGTTATCCAGGAGGCCACCAGCTGTCTGTAGCCAGCCCTCGAGCCTTGGGACCTGCAGGGTCCCCTTCTGTTTGAGAACCTGAGTTTTGTTTCTACCCCACTAACTCTCCACACACTTCTCCCTGGTGCTTGTGGTCACTGGTCGCTGGCTCCTCGGAAGATGGTATGTCGCAAGCAGAGGGCAGGAGCTTCCTGGTATCGCTTACCATGCTGTGGAGCCAGCCATCTGTCAGCAAAACAGGAAGGCACGGGTTCCTTCTCCCTCCTGGGCTTGTTTCACTATTTTTGGGAGCTGTACTTCTGCCCCGCGCAGCGCCAGGCTGGTGCGATCTGAGGCAAGGGCTCCCAGGCGAGCGAGGGGCCAAAGCCTGGAGCTGCTGCTCTGCCCATCTGCTGTGGCTGGAGGTGTATTCATTATTAATGGAGGTAGTGGCTGTTGCTGCTCAGATATGCAGCCCTGCCTGGGTAAATGAGACATTCTTCAGCAAATTGCTTCGGTTTTTGATTGCTGATTGTACGTGTGTCACCAAGCTGACTCAAGGTTCATCGATGCATGCTCAGTAAATTAGAAAGAACATAACTATGGATCAACCAAGAGAATGAATTCTGTGCCTACAATGACCCAGGGCCATTTAATTTTCTGCTTAATTTTGTTGCAGTCAGTTTGCATTTTGGGTTATTATGCAGTAGGAAATTAACAATAAATAACAAATTTGGTCCTCCTGTGCTTGTAATGATATTTTTATAAATCTTTGTAATGCTGTTTTTCAAAGGATCAAGGTCTGCGCCAGTCTGATACTCCAGCAAGTATGCAGGGAGGAAATAAAGAGAAAAATACATTATTCTTCCCAGATAATCTTTTAGTTAAATAGCAAAGGGTTTTTTTTCCTTTCCCCTTCTTTCTCCTTCTATGTGTGTGAGGTGTTTTTTTTTTCTTTTTCTGTGTGTGTATGTGTGTGTTATTTTACATTAACATAAGGCTTTTCCTCTCTTCTCAGATAACTCGAGGAAAATGGAAACAGATGAGGCTCAAGATATGTCCCAAGTTTCAGGTGAGCTCCTTACTTCTACAAAGAAAACACTAAATTCCTGCTCATCTTTCTACCACAATTCAATGTTTTTCTTGTCAATATAATTGCTTTGGGTCTTTTTTAAAACCAAAGTGGGAATTGAGATGTAATTAATGATATCTCTTGATATCAAGCCCAGTGGTGCATGGATTTTTTAAAAGGGACTGTGTAAATAAAAAAGTCAAGGGAATATATAAGCATTGATGTAATTTTGCATTAAACCTGTGGTAGTGTATCCCTAAAGCATGGTCAGGTGCACGTTTACACCATTTCTTTTGGGATCAAAATTCTGATTGTTACAAAATAAATATAGAACAAACTAAATTTACCAGGTGGGAGGGGGCAAATACAAATGAAAAACAAAGTGTATTTACCATACAGGGTTATTTGACTTTTTTCCAAAGCATTCAGTTTTACTTATACGTGTTTAAAAACAGAAAGAAAAAGAAAAGAAGACAAAAGAACAAGAAGAAGAAAAGAAAATGAGAACTGATTGGCATGAGACTTTATGCTTGTAATTGTTTTTGTTCAAGATGATATTTTAAAATATGTTTAAATGGCAGAGAATTTTGGTATCTAAAACTTGCTCCATAGTCACTTGAATACGATTTTGCACTTACCCCATATTGATATTCCTTGGGGGTATTCTTAACTTCCTTGGAAATTGATTCCTTAAAAAATTGGCTTAGCAAGATAATACATATTCATATTGTTGTGCCTCTGCAGCTGAAAAAGGCCAAGTTACTGTCTTTCCCAGTTTCCTTAAAATGTTGGCAGCTGCAACAGTAATGGCTTTCAGTTTTCACTTTTAGTGTTCAGCCTGGAACACGACAGCCCCGTCACTGAGCCCACTCACAGCAGACACCTGGGCGTGCAGCTCTTGCTTCAGAGGCAGCTCTTGGGCACTGCTGCCTCAGGAGCTGGGGGGCCCAGCTGTAGGAGGCAGCTGGTAAAGGTCTGGGCATAGTGTAGGTGACTATGTCACTGGCTTTTTCTGAAAAACATGAATGCAGTTTTCTTTCCCTCTCTCTTTTGTTATTTTTCTGCCTCCTTCCTAATAGTTTTTGAAAAGTTTTGTCAAAAATTGGAACCCAGAACTTTCAATGTCATCTGAGAAATAAAAATCAAACACATGTTCTGTCTGAAAGAGCAACAGTATAATAATCTTTCATGCCAACAGAAGATTACCAGTTATGTTTATTATAGGGAAGTCATTTCTAGTTAGCCCTGTGGAGACATGTTGCGCTCGCTCCTGAGGTAACAAATTTGGAATTGTAACTGGATAAACTTACATGTCACTGCTTTGTTGCAGGTTGAACCAATTTGTAAATGAAATAAAATCTGTCTTATGCAGTTCCTGGAGCATTTGTGGCCTTAGCAGAAAAAGTAGTGGAGTTTAGTTGTTTATTCACTTTGGATCTGCCTGGAGCAATGAGAGGCACCATGATTTGAATCCAGCTCCTCTGCCTGCTGCAGAAACCCTTCTCTGTTTGCATGAGCTCTTTTGGGGAGGAGCGCTGACCTCCTCTTCCTCTGCAGCAGCATAGGCTACCCTGGATACCCCCGCCTAACTGTTGTGGTATTCTTTACAACGGTGTGAATTTGAGCTTCACACCTGCTACTTCTTACTAGAGCACTGCTTGCTTTCCTTTTGACATGAAGAGTAGCAGCAGGGGAGATGCTGCCTTGAGTCAAGGATTGGATTGGTAGAGCAAACACTTTGCATTCCTTGTGGCCTGCCTCTCCCCTTCAGAGGGAAATCTTACAAGAACCTTTGCCATTTTGAATGCTTGTATATATGTAAATATATACATAATAGATGGATATATATAAATGTAAATATATACGTAATAGATGTATATCTATAATTTGCAGTTCTCAAAGTTTTTGTAGTTGAACCACTGTAGTATTTTGCTGTGCCTTTTAGCTTTTCTAGCATATCATGCAATAGTAATATTCTTCAATGAGAGAGGGCTTTCTTGAAAAAGAAAGTTACCTTTGATAAGAGGGAGACCTACACAAACTGATTAAAGTCTGCTTTGAACTCTCCTGCCATTTCTGTCACTGAGCATCTGATACTTTCTGTGAGTAAAGGCTGTGACTTGTATTGGGTTGTTAGCTGGATTTATGGCCAAAGAAAGAACTTCCTAATTGACTTTCATTTATGGTAAGAGGTATTTGGGAACTCACCTTCTGGAAATGAGAGTTTGTCAGATTAGGTTCCACAGATACTGCCTCTTCATAAGCTCTTACTAGACCTCAAAAGTAGAGGATCTGAAGGTACAGGTATGTTATCTACTTCTTTCTCATAGGTTGGTGAGTACAGAAAGGAATTTTCCCCTTGTATATTCTCCTTGGTTTCCACATGCTTCTGGGATGCTTCCTCGCATGATGAGAGAGCTCTGCTACATGTTGGGAACCAGTTAAACAATTGTACAGTTTCAGGAGTGTAAGATTGTCCTGACAACTGTAAAACACTTATTTATTTCTCCTGTTTTATGAGTATTGCTCATCAGTTATATCTGGCTCTGTGGGCCTATGGAATAAGGGGGCTTCAGGAGCACACTTGGTTGGGTTTTTTAAAAATATAAGTTAAAAAATAAATTTGGTTTGGTGGATTTCTTCAGGACTTTTTGTTTTGCTTTTCAACCCAGAAATAAAGAAGGTCTCTAGAAACAGTTGTCCCAGCTCAAATGTGGTGTTTTGCAGCCATGTGCTCTATGCAGCTGCAGCTGACTCAGGTGTGGCAGAGACCAGCCAGGCCAGGAGAGTGTAAAACTAACGTGAGTGAGCCAAACCCTGCATGCACACAGGCATTCCCACCTCGGGGAATCCAGGCATGGCTGACTCCTAGAGGAACTGAAATACTGTGTGACTAGCACAGAGTTCACACTTTTTATTTTTCTCCTGAAAGTGATATTTCATGAGACAAGCAGTTGCAGTTCTGAAATGAGGAGAGAGCTGACATACATTTAACCAAATGGTATCCGGCACCCATACAAGAAAGTCAGAAAACACAGATAATATCTCACTTAACAAGCAGTATTTTTCCTGCCTTTTTCTCTTTTTTTTTTTTTTTTTTTTTCTCTTTTTTTTTTTCAGTTCTAGGGTCTAACAGTTAAGGAAGGTGAAAAAATGGTACAAATGTTTCCACATCTAACATTAAGAGATCTCCTAGAACAAATCAGGCTGTGCTGCACTCTGCAAAAGCAGGAAGAAGAAACCCTCAATATTAAATACACACACCCCCAACATTAGTTTGTCAAAGGAGAGGGAATGAGATTTCTATAATACATCCTGCCCTGGCTTTCTTTTCAACAATTGTAGCACCAGCAGCACCATTCTGGCATGAACTGAATCACTCTCAGATCTGGATGCACATGTTAAAGGAACATGTAAAGGCTAAGGACTTTGACAGAAATAAAAGATACTAAAACCTTATTGAACTTAATTGCAGTTTTTTCCCCTCCCACTCTTTCCTTATGGCTTCAGATATATTTTTAGGGCAGAGATGAGGAAACTCAGAGAGAAGTTGAGGGTCTTGCCAAGCATCACTGATAGGTTAGGCTCTTTGACTATTTTTATACAGAAATGGCAGTGTAGAAAATCTAAGACCATCTTACAGAGATGTAGATTGGAATAAAGGAATACTTGATACAGCCTGCAGTGGTAATTCTTTCTATTTTTGAGTTAACCAAGAGCAACACAAATCAGTGGCAGTACCAGAAACAGAACTTCAATTCCACAGCTAAGGTGGCTTTTTATAATAATTAATTTAGAAACCCAAAAACCACCCCCTCCACCCCAAGATTAGATTATTTTTTAATACTTTACTTCTTAAGCTACTTTGCTCTGTTATGTGACTTTTGAATAATTTTCCCCAGTACTGGCCACTAGGTATTGGGGTGGGGTTTAGCTCCTTTTTCTTTGACCGGTTGTTGTTCTGGGCATGTCTGTTTGAAATTAAAATGGAAAGCATTCCCACCTTTCCCACTTCCCTTTCATTTCTAAATTCAGTGGAAAAAGAATGTTGTTGAGATCATGTATATGTAAGATTGCCATGCAGTAATGAACTTACCATGGTGTAATGATTCAGATGTAGTTAAGGCATGAAATACAAATATGATGCTCTAGAATCCAAGAGAGAGAGCTCAATAAATGGATCTATTTAAAATCCGCTATTTTTGTCCTGTCTTTTTGCATGTAGGGATTTCTCAATCATGAGTAACAAGAAGAAATCAAATTATATTAAATGGGTCATTAAAGACAAGTTTATAAGTTTTCTTCACTGCAGTCTCCTGCAAAGAGGGAAACAGACCTGATCTCCAGCTTCTGCCCCACCAAGTCCAAGAGGCGAGTCTGATTCATACCACCTGGGCAAACTGCTATTAATTTAACAAGTAGAAGACTGATACCCACTTAGTGAACCAAAGAGCTCACCACTGCAAATGTATTCTTCTGCTAACAGGTTTCTACTCCAAAAGGACTGCTCTGACTTCAAATCCTGCCTAGACTACATATTGTAGGATGCCTAATAACACGCTTATAAAGATATTATTTTGTTATCTGTTTTCCCATAGTTTTGGTATTATGAGTTTATATTGGTTTGTAGTCATAAATAGTTTTCAGCTTTTTAGGATAATTGTTCTTCTCAGTCTAGACTGAGTCAAAGCATCAACATCCATTTTTGTAACTGGGAGTGCTGTTTCATCCTTGGAAGATGCAGGTAGCTTTGGATTACTGTTACTTTTTAACAAATTTTTTTAACTTATGTGTAATGCAAAGAAAGCTGCCAGGCTGTTGCTTGCCCTCCAATTAAACCTCTGGGTTTTTTTGATTTTTGTTTTGTGTGGGGCAAAATATGTTGAACAAACTGAAATATTTTAGCTGTCTCTCCTCACTTATGCATTTTATCTGTAAGAGATGCCTCAACTTGGCAGGTTAGGACTTGCAATGGAAAGTTGCTGTCAGTTCTGTAAGTTCCCTACATCCCAGAAATCTGAAGAAATAATTTAATAAGGAGCTAAATTGTTAATGGCAAAAAAAATTAATTCACTTCCTGCTTTTATTTTCCTTTGCTGTAAAATTCATGCTCCCTCTTCTCCATTTATGCAATCTGCCTTTGCTCTTGCACTGATATCCAGTGGGTGTGATTTTGCCCATTTAAGAATATGCCACAGAAGCTGGGTATGAGAGGGACCTTATTAAATCCTCCTGCCAGTGCAGGACTGTTTCTTCAACACCCTGGAGTCCTCTGGCTGCAGTTTGGGATGGTTCACCTGATGCAGCTCTCAAAACTCCTGCTCAGCAATTATTCTGCAGTTTCATAGGTGTGTCATTAAGAAATGCAGTCACATACTCATTGAATTCATTTAAACAAGTCTGTGCCAACAACTCAAAACAGCTAATTTGGAAGATGATTTAAAACTACCTATCATTTCTCCCCATCATGACCAATATAGATGGGAAAACACAATGCTTTGATCCATCCAGGAGGCAGGGAGGAAGCCATTCACTTCATTCAGATCAAGTCCGTAACTGGCACCACTAAGCTGCTGTCACTAAAGTAAGATATATTTGGTTTAGTTTTTTCCATTTCTGGTAAGTGTTTAAGGTTTAATTGATGTTTGTGTTTTAATGAGGGAATCCTCGCTAGGAAAAAACCCACAAATTTGCTAAGGCTGTGTGCCATAAAATTACTGCCCTTACTGGTGTGCCAATTGCCACAGGATGTCAAACAGATTTCATCAATGTAATTTGGTAACATCTCCATTTTCGAGACAAGGGTCTTATGTGAACATTACTGCATTTGAATTCTGCTCTGGGCCTGTTCTGTTCTTTGCTATTAATGCAAAGGCCAGTCTTTTAGTAATAGTCAATGAAATTAATTACTTAGATAATTCCTTCAGTAGATGTTTCCAAAGCATGCTTTTGTTAGGGATGTATGCAGTCATTTTGAAAGTTCTGCAAGACAGTGATAGTACTATGGGCAGGAGATGTATGCTGTTACTGAGGGGTGAATCAAGAAACCTCCCCATTTCTGGAAGCACAATACTTAGCAAGACTGTTCTTTTTTCTTACTGTATTGTGTTTGGCGCTAAAACAGTTCCACAATACCTACAGTGCTTTAAAGCACCAACCTGTTTGCCTCTGCAAAACCTTGTGTATTCAAGATGTTGGGGTTTGTTTCCTATTTGCAAATAGAAGACAATAAAATCCTTGAAGCCTGCTAATTGTACATGTTTAAGAAGTCCTGATACTTCCAGGCATTTCACTACTTGTAGGCACAAGGACCAGCCAGAACTTGATCTGGGGGCATTAGTGAAGCTTGCTGGCATTGTAGCTGAATTTTCAGTTGAAGATAAAACTTTATTTGAGGTAGTTCATTTGGAGCTCCAGAATACCTGTGGGTTAGAATTCCCTATGTCTTTGAAGCAAATCCAGATGTGTTCTCAAGGAGAAGTTGTGGAAGAAAGAAGATTTTTTTACCAAGGATGTCCATTTGATAACCTTTATAATCTGTCAGTCTGTGTTGGCTAAATTGGATCTTCTGAGCATAGCAGCTGGAAAACATACATATCTCACAAATATCCAAAATGGTAAGACTAATAACTGTGCATCCATACTCAGTAAATTTGTCACAGACATTGATATGCATTCTTTTAAAAAATATTATTCCCCTGTATTCTTTGCGGGAGTGGGGTTGGGTCCTAAGAATATCATGCTTTAGTAGTGCTTAGGGGTTTTGTAATATTTTTTTGGTTTGTGGTTCCTCTTATGGTATTATTTGAAAATGAGGCTACTCTGACAATGACAATCTAACTGATGCTTTCCTCACTATTAGGAAAGGAAAGTCCTCCAACTAGTGATGTCCCTGATGATCCAGATGAACCTATGCCTATACCAGAGGACCTTTCAACTAGTACTGGAGGTCAGCAGAGTTCTAAGAATGACAGAATCTTGGGTAAGATAACAAATACAATCTAATAAGAAATATAAGATGATATAACAAAATTGTTAAATTACTTTTTCACAAGCTGGTAAACAAGCAGGTTCTGTGCCTTTCCATCTTCTTCAGGTGCATAGTGTTTTTTATGCAACCTTTTTTTTGGGAAAGGCATCTTCATCTGCAGAGAACTTATAAAGATCGTACTTTTTATCTTCTTACCATGACTGTTGTTTGATACTCTCCTCAGGAAAGAGAGTTTTCATTCTGTGTAGGAAATGGAATGAAATATGTGGGTCCAGGTCAAAATTATATGAAATCAGATTTGATAAAAATTCAATAAATGCTCAAGTATTTTTATTATTATTTTGTTATTAATTTGAATGCTATCTTGAATGTTACTGTATTATCTCCTATTCAGATTTCTTCAGAAATGCATATTAGAACACACATAGTATTTATATATTTGAGATTCCAATATTTGATCTTCATTTATCTCTGATTTTTTACCTGGGAGAACTTTGGGAAACACTTATCTTTTAGATAAAAATCCACAATTGATGAAGTCTGTTGGGTTGGAATTTTTGTCCAGAGATGATTGTGCAAAATGCTGATTATTCTTAGGGATCCCAGACTCACACCAAGGACTAGCAATGCTGATGACTACTGTATGCACCAGCTCCCACGTGGTGCACTAAAAAGACTAAACATTACTTGAGCATCATGCCTGTTAACTAATAGGGAAAAAAAAGGAAAAGAGGGGAAAAAAGCACAGTGACTCCCAGAATGCTGTGATAAATGTCCTATGTGATAAAAATAGTTCTGTTAAGGGATGAATATCAAAGTACAAGTGTTTACCCATGAATAAAAGTATTGTTCATTATTCTTACATTCTAACATTATTGTAAGAGTAAGGGTCAGGGTGGACGATTTACAGAAAGATTGCAAGTGCCTTTAAATATTAATTGTCTAGGGAAATCCAGTAAAGGATACTAGGTGGAAAGGGAGGCACAGAGGGCAAAATAATTAATTCAACATAATACAGAAGGATGGTGTCAGCATTAGGAATAGAACCTACTCCCAAACTCCAGCACAAGCTAGTAGTGAGTGCATCATCTTATGCATCTTCATTCTATTTATCATTTGATCCCCTCTTATCAAAAATGTGAGCAAAAATTTCAGCTCCTAGATGCATATTGACATACTTTATGAAAAAAGTCATATTTAAAAATGCTTTTTAACAATCTGATCACTTATTAAATTATTTATTTTTCAGTCCAAAGATCTTTGGACAAAATCTTTCATTAACTGCTTGTCTATCAACTCAGCAAAACGAGTTGTGTCACCTTTCTACCACAGTAACTAAGCCTACTAAATATTTAAGCCCTGAGTCAAAAATTAAATTTTTAAATTCTTTGTTCAAACCCAAACACGATTTTTCATTGTGTTGAATTTTCTTTGATATACATACAAATATCATGAAGATGCAGCAAAGTTGAACTTCATATTTGCTGACGATGTAGTGATTCTGTCAACAGTTCAGTCATATCAACACATACACATATTCTAAATATTATAAGTTCCATCTGTTATTCTCATTACTCAGCAATAAATTAGATTTTTCATGCTCTGACATTAACAATTTTTCTACAGCCACTTTACCCATAGGTCTTTTGTTTATAAGGGTCATATCTTGTAGTGAGACATTTACCATAGCCAACAGAAACAAAGACAATTCACAATACTCTGCTTTATGGATGATCTGTAGGTATCAATTCCAATGCTTGCAATATTTGTCTTTTTTGTAAAGCTGCATGCAATTTTACCTCTTCTATTGCTCCTTTTTACTAACTTTAAGCTACCTCTCTGAAAACAGTATACTAAAAATATTAATTCTTCCTTTTTACAAAGAGGATGTGAATATATGCCCCAGGCATATCAGGAGTCATATGATTGCTGTTCACATTCTGGATCTTCAACTTAGGAATAAAATAATACCTTAGGAGTGGTGTTTGGCCTCCATGATCCTATAGGTGTATTAGGGGTGAAGAGGGCTGTCTTCCTATGTAGGCGGTGGCCTGGAAGTGTAGACAGGCTTGGTGTTTAGTACAACACTGTCATTGCCATGTCCGTGGATCTGTTCTTCACTGTTAGTCATCACTAAACTTAGGTAGACAAGAATGATCTGAAAAATTAGTTTGAAGATTGACAGATAGACAGGAGAGCATTGTAAAGACCCAGATGTTATCTGTATGTATCTGGCAGGTGGGAGCTAGACTGTGGCCTGTGGTAACCAACAGGCCCTGCATGAACAGATATGGCCCGCCAAGAATTTCTCCCTGCATGACTTTCCTAATGTCCCATCTGTTTCTTTCATCAGAAGGGAATCTCCTAGCATTTGGATTTATTTCAACATAGGGTTTACAATGCATTCCACTTAACCTGTAGCATCCTGAGAAATCAGCTGTCCATGCAACATACATCGAGGAATTTGAGTCAGACATTTAATGAAGTCTCTACATTCTGGAGGATATTTTTGTATACGTAGGGCTATGGAGGTAACAATGGGAATTGCAAGTTTTTTAAATGAAAAGAATAAATATTTACCTCATCCTATTGAAATTAGGTGAGAAGTCTTTTTTTAGTTTTAATCAGTCTGTGAGATAGAAATTTTCAATTGACAACTCTCATACTCAGATTTGTAGTAACATTTAATGAAAAAATGTTTCATTATTTGACACCTGGAGTCAAAAGTTTAATTACCTTTTTCATCAATTTAGCATTTCAAAGGTCAAAGATTACAGGAAATAAGCTATTTTTAGAAAAAAAAGATAGGCTCTACTCTTCCATGTGTTTTTAAAAATCTCTTTTTGTGCTTCTTCCAAACATGTACTGAGACTTTAATGTGGTGCTACAGAGCTGATAGAAGCACTGGAAATATTTCTCCTGCTCTGAGAAGGAAGGTGTTGAAGGCCTCTACTTGCCAGATTTTATTGGTTGCCTTTAGTTTTTGAATTATCATTTAAAATTACTATAGAGGGTGCAAATTTCATAAAGGAGGTACCAGGGGATCATGAAATGTATGTTTTGACTTGTGTCCCCAGGCAGGGGTGATGCCCAAAACATGGGTTTCTTCTGACCAATGATCAACAGGTCTGAAAGGATAATTTATGGAAGTAAAGTCATCAACAGTTTCTAGTAATAACCCCAAGTAGCACAGCAAAGCAGAAACATATTGGAAGAGATGTTCTTGTCATCATCAAGATTCTTCATTTCCTTGATGAGCTTACTATAATTTTAATGTTGCAACCCCCAGAAAGCCACTATGTGCTGAGCAGCTTCCTTCTGCATGCTTAATTTCTGCTGCTCTGTCCAATAGATCTTCTTCCTTCCTTGTCCTGTTCGCCACCCCAAATTTACTTCTCAGGCTGATCTGAAACCTATAACATTTTATTATTTTAATCTTGTTCTTTTCACCCATGTGCTCTTCAGATAGTTTCTCTAGAAAACACAGTGAGCATTTTCAGCAAAGTGTGAGATTTTCACAGCTCTTTAGGGCTCTAGAGACTCTCTTTTATCATCTCTCCTAAATATCCTTTTGAAATCTTGGTCTGAGTTATTTAGAAATCCACTGGAAGTCCATTCCATTAAGAATTAGTGGCTTTGCAGCCTATTTTGAACAGCCCTATTTCTCATGGTACCCTATTGGAAATATAATTTGATAATTCTCAGTCTCTGCAAGGTTCAGGTTAAACGTTGTGTGCACCTTTTGTGGATGATCAGTACTGAACATCCTGTGTGTGGTAAACAGTTGCAATTTAGGGCTGTTTGTGCTCTGAGACTGTATCCTAATTCAAGCCATGTGTGGGAAGTTAGTGACTCAGTGATCTGTAGATCAAATCCTACTTCATGGAGAAAGAGCCCTTTGCTGCAGTGGTGGCATTTGTCTAGAAGGGTAGGCTGTGTCTTCCTTTATCCATAACTGCTCATTCCATAGGTGGCCATCACTGGATAAAAAAAAACCTCTTCTAACTTCTCAGTGTTAGTGGCTTCAGAAAGAGGCTGTGGGCTCACCATTTCTGCACAGATAGCTGTCTGGTGCTGCAGATGACCATAGACTTCTAAGATGGAAGTCAAATGTTACCACTGCAGTCGCAGATTACAGTCTGGGCCTGGAACAAATAATGTATAGAGATCTTCTTCTTTTTAAGAGGTGGGGAGAATTCATGTCACAAAATTGGGTTGAAACTGTCAAACAATTGGCAGAGTATGCCCAAAGTAACCAGTCAGGGTGATCATAGACATCAGTAGAAAACAGACAAGATTCATATGAAATTATAAAGTCTATTTGTTTAAAATAAATAGGTATGAGAAGCAACATTAAAAGGAAGATTTTTTTTGGACATTTTTCTCTCCCAGTGGGTAATACCAAATGATGATGTTCTGTCCCTCTCACAACTCAGTTATTGAAGCAGAAGCCTGTGTACCTGCAGGCTTTGGTGCCTGGCATCGCTGGGACCCTGGCATTGCCTTCACACCCTGGGGTCCTCCCTCTCAGGCATGGGCATTCAGAGGTTGTAACCTGCATGAGGAGCTACTTACTGATGCAGGCAAGTGTCCCCTCTCTGAGAAGCTTTGATACTTTATTTCCTTAAAAGGAGCTCCACCATTTGAGAACACGGGCGCAAGAATTGCTGAGGGGCCACCACAGGCAACCACAACCATTGCCATTACATAAATCTACTGCAACTCACACACAGCTGGGTGGAGACAGAGTAGAAGTGTGGAAAGGCGGCAGACAGAGGGGAAAAGCGAGGAAAGACAAAAGGGGAAGTGCCCCACCCCAGCTTGCAAAATCGGCCCTGTGGTTCAGACAGGTCCAGTGCACTGGTGCCCTGGTAATTCTGCTGGGCAGGAAAAGGGGCTGAAGAAAAAGGCTGCTGGAGCTATTTGCACACTCCTCCTTGTGGGTGTTCAGTGGCTATGAAGGCAGTGTCTTGTGTATGAATAATAAAGTG